CTAAACACTTTATCCTTTGTTACCCCTTTGAGCCTTATTTATTTTCTTTCATACCCCTCTTTCGGAATCAGTAGTAAAGATCAGAAACACAAGCGTGAAAGATAAGTAAAAGAAAAGAGAAAAGAAAAGAATGAAAAGAGAGAGAAGGAAAAAGGAAGAAGAAAAGAAAAAAAACAAAAAAAGGAAGAAAGAAAAGAAAAGAAGAAAAAAACAAAAAAAAGGAAAAAGAGAGAAAAGAAAAGTCACAACAACAGAGCAATTCCTATGACATGAACTACGTTCGACCTGATTCCTTTTAAGGACACGTAGGTAGCCTCACGATTCGGTCCCATCAAATAAAAAATCCAAAGGTCCCCAAGCAAGAAACTGGGGCAGAAGTTGTGGTTGTTGTAAGAAATCTGATTCCGAAAGTTGTAATTTTGAACCCATCTGAATTGTTTTGAGCCTTTTGATACCCTTTCTTTCTAACCCTATCCAAAAGCCCACGTTACGGTCCAAAGAAAGACCTTCTGATCAGTCTTCGAGAGATGCCAAGTCGAGCAAGTAGAGGTGATTCATATCAGGGGCAACACTCTGGTCCAAGCAGGAAAATAATTAAAATGAGAGAGTCTTATTGGTGAAAACCCTCACGGGCACCGTAAGGCGACGGGAGCTGAGAGAAATGAAAAATGAGAGAGTCTTATTGGTGAAAACCTTCACGGGCACCTTAAGGCGAAAGTGATTTGAGAGATGCACAGAGGTCTGCTGGTGAAAGCCTTCCAGGGCACCACAGGATAAACAAGGTCAAGGTTCGGGTGAAGAAATCAGGTTGTGGAGTTCCGGGGCAACAAAGTATGACAACTGGAAGTTGATTGGTTGGACAGATTGGGCCGGTCAATCCAAAATGCATGTCATGATCAATGGTACCAGCTGTTCCACTCAGATAAGTCTCTTTTTCTTTTTCTTTTCAGTAAGTCGTCCAGTTTTGGATTTTCTTTATCCGTAACTCTCGAGGTCATTGTATTTCATTTCTTTTGGGGTCTGTTTCTCTAAGATGTTTCAATGTCAGTCTTGTTCAAAGCAAATAAGAAAGGATTTCAAAGCTCACTACCAACCTCCAAAGTTGCAAAGCACAGTGTGGCCAGAATATACCAAAGGTAGCAGGATGTAAAGTGGGATATATGGAGTCACCGAAAGTTTCATCGGTGGAATGACTTGTTAATTTCATGGGAAAGACAAAGGTTCAGAGAAACGGGGATGTTTGCCCAATTCTCAGAAATAAAATAGAAACACCAACCTTGTGGCAATGCATACATGGAGATGCTCTTACTCATAGAATCAACAATTTTTAGAAGTAAAATCCCGGCCAATCAAAAGATACATAGTGATGACTAGATGCATGCGAAAGCCTTTATCAGTAGGTAGACATAGATATCAAGAATGGATAGTACAGAAACGTATTCCTTTTTCATACAGTTGTGTAACTTAATCCAGATCAATAAAAAATTTAACATGCCAAATTTCAGATAAAGTTAATAACTACATCACGCTTTCTCAAAAAAATAATTACATTACCTGCACTTTTATGTACCGATCAAATTCTTCTCTTTGCCTGTCAATCTCACATTTAAAACCACTGTCTATCGGAAGAAAAGCAGGAAGGGCTGCTTTCATGTTCTCAGGAGCAGAAGTGACTGAGGAATTACGTTCTTTTTCCTCATAAGAAAGTCTGAGTCCAGTTGATACAGTATTTGGATTCAAAATGCTTCCAGCTTGATCCACTTCATTCTGACAAAAGTTGTTATTCAAGGATATCTTAAGCTTTTGCTGGCTATAGTTTGGTTCAGCATCCCGGACTCTTTTGGTGGGGCGAATTGCAGCAGATGGGTGTCCATTCACTGTGTTGCTTATCGGGTATCCACTACACCCAACGTTAACTGAAAAAGATGAATAAAAAATGTCCATGAGATCCGAGGAAATAAGACC